TAATCTAGGTAAGGGGGTTTTGGGGAGTTTTCTTTAGTATAGGGTAACAAAATTGCGCTCAACTAGGTCTGGTAGAGGTTAAGGGTTCCCGGGTCCCAGGGGCAAACCCCCCCCCAAAAATTCCTAAAGTACCCCCCCCCCCGGGGTGTCAGAGTCAGGATTTTAATACTGAGTGTAATACTGAGAGAAGATTTAACAAAGATACCTGAAGGTTACATCTTTAACTTTGATCCCCTGGGAAAGGGGAAACTCCCCCAATCCTAGGTTCTTCCTGATGCTTCTATACTCAGTTGATACATGAGTTTGCACAATAGTGCCAGCACGGGCGCCGCAGTGTGCCGATAAACTGTGTAGGAAGGATACTGGAAAACAAGAGGGATCATAACTTACTTAATGATTCCTACATGTCTACATTCTTGATTCATACTGTTCCATACTCATTGACATAACATTGGAACTTACATTCTGTCTAAAACTGTAATGCACATTGTTAATTAATTATTCTGTTTTATCGTAACCTTTCATTTTTGACGATTTATGTCAACATTTCGTTATAAATGACACGTCGTGTATGCCATGTCAAATCTAAGTGCTAATTTTTGTCCCCTGTATTGGCAGGTCGTGTTTATGGGGTATTTCAACAAGGACGCTCAACTATCACCTTACAATCATCATAGGTGAGTATAAAATTGGCACAATACATATCTATGAAAGGTGTTTATAGAAGCACTCTGTCTTGAGCACATGCCTATACGAACGATATGCATTACCAGAAAACTCGAGATTAACAAGTTCATTTTTATGAATTAGAGGCATACAATATTACAAAATACTTTCATCTTATCCGCTTACGTTGCATCGCAGCAGGTGTGTCCAAGCCAATGGTGTCCAGGATATGTTCGAAATCCTGCGCAAACATTGGATTCTTGGGGTGTAGATCGACCTCCCCCACTTCCTTCCGTAGGAAGCGAATTAACGTTTTCCCCAACTCGGGGAACTCTTTTGCGGGGCTAAGATGGCCATTGGAAGTTTGCTGTAAATGAAGGAAACCTGCATATCAGTAAAACTAGGATGGGACACAGAATTTGAGTTACCTGCTCCAAAAATATGACATGTCAGAGTTGTGTGCATGATGTCGAGACAGTCCACTTGATATGTTGAAATTATTCACAGTTGGTTGGAGTGATTATTTCAAGGACAGTGTGACTGTTATAGCCTGGCTATGTAATTTTGTACTAAATATATATTGATATTCATTGGAAATTAAGTGCTTTGTAGAACTTGTCTAATATATTAAATAGGAAATACAACTAATGTAATTGCAGCACTAAAAAGGTAACTGAACAGCTTCCAAAAAAAACATGGATTGATTAGGTCAAGCACAATGCAACCGTTGTACCCGAGCTATGTAATTTTGCAATAAATATATATTCGTCGAAAAGTAATTGCAAAGAAATCATCATGTAACATATTAAATAGGAAATACAACTAATGTAATCACACCACCAAAAAGTTGTATGAAGAGATTCTAAAAAAAAAACTCTCACTGTTATGCAAGAAATTGTGACCTGATACACATGTAAGCAGTTGAGATGACCAAAAAGTGCATTGAATGATGATAGTTACTAATGAGTATTTGTATTTTAATTATTAGGTATTTTGATGTCCACTTACCCACATACACAGACCACGGAAAATGTTGTTGAGGATTCTCTTGCAATAAAATCCTGCCTTTGCGCAGGCCACGCAGAATGTTTTTATTGCAAGCTCGGGTGAGGGGAAGCTTACAGCTACCCCCGCCTTTGCTTCTTTATGCCAGGCTAGATAGAGTTGCCTGGCATCAACGATGGATTTTATCTAAATAAAAAGATATGTCTGGTGAGAGACTGATAAAGGTGGTGTTGTCTACATACAGATACTTGTGTTGTTTACGTATAGCGTTAGGCCCTTTTTTTTTCTCTGTTTGCCGTCGTCTGACCGGCCCAAATTTTGGACATTTTCCAAACAAGAAAGACTGACGTGGTTGAACCATTTTCCCCTTAAAAAAATTCTTGTAATTCGGAAAATGAGCATAGTAAGAGCACAGAGAAAAACAGTAACAAAACCAGGAACATATGTCACAGTGTATTTTGTTAATCCAAGTATGTAAATGTTAATTTTAGCGTCGTCCTGGGGTTCGCCTAACAAAACTGAAGGGCTTACCGTTCCTGGAGCTAATGTGTCCAGGTACATTTTTTTAGCTCGTTCTTTGTCAGCTGCCGCATCAGTCAATGTAGCGGTGAAGTTTTGTATTAACGAGGAGTTCTCCGGGAATGTGACGCCGAGAAAAACGCCCCCTTCAGGGACGAGCCCTGTGGAGTGAAACCATATTTTAAAATTGCACATTTCATTGACTCAGACTTTAAAAAAAGGTAAACACATCACTTCAATCATTTAATTCACTGGAACGCGGAATTCAATGTAGTCCACGACGTTAGTAGTTGTTCAGCCTGTAATAAAAGTATAAGAAATGAAGCCATACCTGAGTGTTTACTGGCCATTTCACTTGGGGCACGTGAAAATTTTTTCCCATGCCTCCAAATTTATATCACGCCACAAAGATTTTCCCGCCGTTTCTGCCTGGCGGACGCCGCGCATTATTACTTCCCGCCATTTTCATTTGAAGAGAGGGCGCCCGTCATTATGCGCGGGAAATCGCAACACCTGTGTCACAACCAACTTCCCCACTTTCTGCGTTCCCCACTCCCTGCGTTCTGATTGGTTGAGCTACTACTAGGCGATATGTTATATGTTATAGTCCTCTGGTAGCGAAAAGCTCCAGCTTTGAATACGAAAACAATCGTGGCTGGATCGGGTTTCGCTAGCTAAAGTTGTTTTGTCTCGATATTTTTCACGAACTAGTTGGATGTTACTAATATACAATTATTCCAAGAGCCCGAATGGGCTCTGAGTCAATAGCCCAGTCGGCCTTCAGCCTCATAGACCGAGGAATAATTGTTAAGTACACGAATATTGAAATGCTAATTTCGTGGAGGTACCTTTTGTAGCATATGAAAACAGCCGGGTCTTCTCAGTCCTTTCCGCAGCTTTTATGGAGTTTCTGGCGCAGACGTTCTTTCTCGAAACGTTTGTGTTTGCTCAAGAAGCCTCTCTTCCATCAAGACTTCAAACATATTTTGGATTACCTCGGGTTAGAAACACCAGCTGCCCTTCAAAGTAGTTCACTGCAACATACAAATTCAACAATTATTGATACTTTACATATAGTCAATTTCTGAAAAAATTTCAAATCAACTTAAAACGTTTTATGCAGATACAAAAAACCCTTGTCCTTCACAAAATTTTTTTCCAAGCCCCTTTACTGTAAAATGATACAATTATAACACAGCTACATTGTTTTCCAACTCAAGTCAATAATACGATGCGAGACATATTTTTCTCATATATGGCACCACGCAGGAGGTCCATCCTGGGGTGCAGGCAATGCTTCCTCTCACTACAATGGACATAAAGGCTCTCTGTGTATTATATGAAAGGGCAGGATTCTCCTTTACTAGGATTACCAACAATATAATCAGGGTCTCTGAACACAGCCCATGCATCGCACTTCAACACTCCAGAAGACTTCCTTTCTTTTTAATTATCTCCTATTATTATTATCATTATTATTATTATTATTATTATTATTATTATTATCATCACCATTATTATAATTATCATTACGATTGTTATTAAAATCACTATCACTGTTTTAATCTTCTTTTAACTGCAACATGTTTTTAGTGGCATGTAACGTGTTTTCAGGTCTTTCATCCAGAGGAAGGCCGTTGTATCTGGTCAAAATATAGGTGAATAAAAGTTGTAAAATCACACTCTTCATTTGGCAGGGTTTTCAACAGTTTTTGAAGTAGGAGTTGCGTTTATTTGAGTAGGAGTTGCAAGGCCCGGAGGGCCTTGCTCTCTAGGGGGGTCTGCAGGGACCGCGGAGCAAGGTGAAAAGTGAGAGGGCTGACAATTGAAAATAATTTTTTCTAATAAACGACCAACATACACTGTCAGTTCAGATTCAATGCAAGAAAAGAGGCGATTAGAATTTTAGTATAGAAAATACTACACTGAAGAGATCTGAAAAATTTCTATGGCCGTTCACTGTTCAAGTAATGTAATTCTTCTTGCCATCGAATATTTCATTGATTCGAAAGGAGAAAGACAAAATATAAAACTTTTATCAACTCAAAACAACTACTCACCCTCGTTTGGCTTGAAAAAGCTAGTAATTTTCTTCATTTCGTCTGATAAAACTGATAAAAAACTCTGCCGGAGCTGGAAGTACAAAACACACTGCCGAACGAAGCGAAGGGGTGGCCAAGGCACCACCGC